GGCATTCTTATCGATATCATCGAGTTATAATGAAGGGCTTCGAGTTGTACTGTTTCAGTATGCGTGGTATGACACCGCTCGCGAAGGCGTTGGTTACAAGAAGGATGGACATGACACTATTACCATCATCACAACGAGAAGGCTTATAACCGATGAGCCATTTGTTCTGGCTAGTAAAGCAATTCAAACTTATTATGTGCACTCTTTGAGAGATCCAAATTGGAAAATTGTGCTTGAAACGCGACCAAGAAATTTGTTCACAATGCCCTGTAATATGGAAGGAGAAGGAGCATTAGAAACCTTATCAAGAGGACAATATTTTAATTGAAGATCCTAGGGTACTCCAAACTGCGGGTGATGATCTCATCAACTGGACCGGAGCAGGGTTTGAAGACTAAGTAGGACTAATTTGGTCTTTGTAGATCGGGATATATATTACTTAATTTCTATTTTTCATAGAACAGTGATTATTATAATTACTTAAAGAATATGTGTTTTTTTATCGATTCAATAATCATTTCTGGAAAATGTCATGTTTGTCCGATTTTCATAACTGCCTCCCAATAATTTATCCCGAAGAAAAAAAAAACGTCTACGGTAATTCATTTTGTAAGAAAGGTTTCAATTTTGTAAACAAACAGTACTGAAGAATTGTGTATGGTGCACAAAATTTATTTGTTTTGACACTGACCACATGTTTATGGTGTCAAAAATGATTTTTTCTTGACCAAACAGTACTGACAAAATTTTTACGACGCAAATTTTTTTTCGTTACCAAATAGTACTCACGAAATGCTTATGGCGTCAAATTTCTTTTTAATTACCAAACAATACTGGCAAACTATTTATGGCGTAACGACTGTTTTTTTTCTTACCAATTAGTACAGACGAACTTTTAATGGTGTCAAAATTAATTTTTTCTAACCAATTAGTGATAACGAGCTGTTTATTTCATCAGAATTAATAAAAAAAATTGACAATCGATATTTTTTCGTCAATAGTAATTATTTTTCCCAACGACCTTTTGTATTGGTCAGTAATGATAATTATTTCTAACGCGAAAAATGAAGTCATCAAAAATAATGTGTGGAAAATTGAAACTGGTCCAAAATACATTTTACTGACGAAAAAATACAAATATTGACAAAAATTCACCTCTGTCAAAATTAATTTCATTATTACTGACGAAAATTGTTTGTCGTCAGAATTAGGGATCTTTTTCGACTAATTTTCTTTGATGTGACCACAGTACTGAGTCTTCCTTCTTTTTATGGGATTTTCGAAGCTTTTCTTCAACTAAAACAAAACTCGAACAAAGATAAAGGTGAAACACGATCAAACAGATTCCAACTCGTGTGAAAGGGCAATTGATATATGAAACCAATCAAACAATCACCCACTCATGAATAAGACCAATCGCTATTTGGTAGAAACTCGCCACAACTAGACGTGATCTCTAGTTGATAAGAGACACGTGAAACTCCTAAAGACTCTTGACATAAGCTTACACAAAGAAACTAATTCGTATGAGCTCGAAACTTGAAAGTTGATTGATTTCAAAGTGAATGAATTACAAGCTAGAACTCGTCCCTATTTCTAGGCTCTTTAAAACAAATACAAAACAAACAAAGAAAGGAAAACAATGCCCAAATCCTACAAGTAAAAGGAAAAACTACTATGACCCATGCATTCAACCTCTAAAGAAATGCCTTATAATTCGCCCCCGTATGTTTCATTCACACTTGAGATCCTTTTCACACCTTCATTCCTTCTACATTAAGGAAATGGTTTCCCTTTTGGGGTAAGAAACACTCAAAAGCCCATTCTTCTTCTCTTGGCCGCCAGCCCGCCACCTTCTTCATCAAAGCCCTTCCAATCTCCTTCAACGAATTGTAACACCATGATGGGCTTCCCAATGTGCCGATTCACGTCCATATGCTAAAAGTGACGATCCAAATAATGTGTAAAAGCTTCCCAATGAGAGCTATAGCAGGGAGAACTCTGGCATGGTTAGTCTTTGGCGACTTTAATGCAATTTTGACCTCTTCAGATGCCTCAAATGGAGAATTGCTCCGAACAAGTGGCCTGGGTCTACAGGAATGATTGGAAGATATGCAATTGGATGAGCATATAGGATTGCTGGAGAAAGATACATCTGGATTAACATGGATCAGAAGAACCCTATAGCAAGAAAAATAAATAGAGTAATCATGAATAGGTCTTGGCTGTCTCAGTTTTATGGAAGTGTTGCAAGCATCCCTAAGCTGTATTCAGATCACTATGAACTTTTGATTAACTCATAGAGTCCTACCCAACCCAGAAAATGTAACCTAAACCTTTCAAATTCTCCCGCTTCTAAAGTGAACACCCAAAGTTTAAGGATATACTGCAAGAAATCTAGAGCACCGAGATTTCTGATAACCCTTAATTATAGAGTCCGTAGAAAGTTGAGGCAACTAAAGAAAAAGTTGAAAGAATTAAATAAAGAGTTTTACTCGGACATTTCTCTATGAGCTAGGCAAGCTGAGCAGGAGCTAAATAAGGTGCAGTGGTTGATTTTGTATTGTATCAGAAGGCATAAGAGGATTTTCTCAAGCAAAAATTCAGAATTTAGGCAGTTACAGAAGGAGATCAAAATACAACATATTTTCACCAATATCTCAAAATCAAGAAGCACGAGAATACAATTTCTTATCTCATAAAGGATGAAGGAACCATTGGAACTGATGTTGAGAAAATTGGTCAGGTAGTAGTGAATTTTATAAGCATTTTCTTGGAGAGAGGAACTAGGAGGTTACAACTTTCTCTATAGAAGACATAAGAGAGAATTGCTAGTACATCAACTCCCTGTCTCTAGAACTAAAGACTTATGTAGAACAGTGACAAAAGAAGTTCTCTTTAGTATGGGTCAAATAAGGCACCAAGACCATAATGGTTATACAACAGAGTTCTACAAAGCAGCATGTACATTTGTAGGAGATGAAATTACTGAAGCAATTGGATTCTTCTTTGTGACAGTGGTACTTCCTAAGTTGTTTAAATCGACAGTGCTAGCCCTACATCCCAAGATACCTTCAGCTGATCACATGAAACTCTATCGGCCTATTTCATGCAGCAACGTGCTTTAAGTGGATTGTAAAGCTTTTAGCAAATAGGTTGTCAATAGTGTGTGATCTGTTGGAAATTTGGTTGAACCGGACTAACCAAGTCAAACCGGTTTTGGGTTGGACAACCAACCGGTTTGAGATTAGACCAACCCGAACCAATATTATAATTTTATGAAGGGACACATCCCTTTGGTCTAGTGGCGGTTGCATTATTTTATAGATAAGGATGACCTTATGGATAAGGACAACCTTATGGATAGAGGCAAGCCTTCATATGGATAAGGATAACCTTTCATATGGGTAAAAACAACCTTAGCTTTCTTATGGATAAAGGCAACCGTTCATGAAACAATGCATGGATTTGGCCTCTATAAATATATGTGCGGGGTGGATGGTGCCACATACCATCAAACATATTCTTCTTCGTTCTACAAAAAATTCTAAGTATGCATTAGTGTTCTTGAGCCTAGAACCTAAAGTGGTGATAGTTTTATCCTCTGGATAAATTTCCAGTAACCCAAGGCTTTGTAGAGGGTGGAAATATTCTTTTCGGAAAGTGAACGTTGTTCATGACTCTATCACAATTCTGGTCACCCAGTTTCGGGCTATCGTGCGTGTACCCTCGTCCCAAAAAGTCCCAACAATCGAAAAGAATATTTTCCGGTATGATGGCTCGAACCGATCTTTGCAAGAAACCGGTTCCGATTTATGGAATTATGAGAATGTTCGATGATGAGTTTTTCATCGATGATAGTAGAAGATGAGTTTTCTTCATACTAGTCTCATGGTGTATTCCATATTCGGAAGGTAACTTGGAAAAGGGATGATTCGAAGATGAGAAAGGAGAAGGCTTCATAAAATGGAAAAATAGAAGAATGACAATTGCCTTTGTGTAGGTCGCATACTCAATGGTTAATCTGAGTTAGTAAATAGCTATAAGAGGAAGTTTATTTTCTCTAGAAGCACAATGAAAATAGATCTTGTAAAAGCATTTGATTCAGTTGACTAGTTATTTTTGTTAACAGTGACGAGGGTAACGAGGTTACCTCGACAATTTGTGGTGTGGATTAGTACTTGATGACACGTGAAATAATCCATTTTAGATTCTCATAGTGTGATCAAAGTGCATACATTTTCAATCTATAGTGTCAAAACACCTTGAATTTTACGGTCAAACATAACTGTTGACTGCCACATAGTACAGATTTAACGGAAGTAGACGACGAGTGACTATTGATAACATAATCGTGTAATGTCGATGCCTTAGTTCGAGTGGCAAACAAATAACAAACATGTAATATGAGTGATCAAACTTGCAATTTGCTCTATTTTTCAAACAGGAAAACCAAAGGTCATATTTATTTATTTTCACAAAGATGACTTTTATTTTTGGCTTCCAAAACATTTGACTATTCAACATATAATTATCCGCCTCTAAACGACCAACCACAAAAACTTCAGAATACGGTCGTTCTAAATCTGCCTCTGAAAACAATAATTTATTTTCACGTAAATATGAAGACAAAACTTTAAGTGACAATTATAAAGATTACGCCGCTAAAATAACTATTTCAATAAGATGAAACTCAAATATAAACCAATAATAGATAGAGAGGCAAATTAAATTCTTTATAGAGAAAAATATTTTATGTGCCGCAAAGTTAAGCCGCTAAAATCGTATCTTCTTGTAGTGTTTTTTTTTTTTAAATAACACTAATCATAGTGTAACCGTTGTATATTTTAGGCAACCCCTTTAATTATTCTTGTACAAATATGTTGGTAAAAACCACTTTTTTCGTTGTGTGTGTGGCTCCCGGAAGCTGTAACCTCATCCCCAACCTGTCTATAAAAAGGGGGACTTCAGCTCTCACAAAATTCTATCACCCCAAACCAGCTAGAGCCATAGTGATCCCTTTCCATGGCTTTCAGAGTACTTGTGCTGCTGCTTCTCTCGAGCCTGCTGGCTCACAGCATTGGCTTAGGGATGGCACAGTCCTACGACCCTTGCGAAGATCTAAACGACTACCAGTACAAGCCATCCGAGCAGCTGCCCAATGGCCGTGGGAATTTCCCCGAGGGCTTCGTGTTTGGCTCAGCCACAGCTGCTTATCAGGTAGAACTATGTATCAGTTACTTAGAGTACTATATATCGATTTATTGACTCCTTTGGTTTATTATCATTTGTTGTTGTGTGTTCTTTTATTTGCTGCTGTGGGATGAAGGTCGAGGGTGCTGCTAATGAGTATGGCAGAGGCCCTAGTATTTGGGATAGATTCGCTCATGAGTTTCCAGGTCTGTAACTTATAAAATGGTCGGCCTCTAAGCTTAATTTCCTCGATGAATATATGATATGTTGATGACTGCAGACAGGATAGCCGATGGGAGCAATGGAGATGTGGCACTCGACCATTATCACATGTTGGAGGTATATATAAACTAGTATGATAGAAACCTGATGTTAAGGTTTTATCGGCTCGTTGGGTGATCATATTGGGAATTTGGAATTTAGAGATTTAGAATAGAATAGGGCATTAGAAGAAGAATTTTAGGGATTGAGGAAGAACCGCCGAAGCTTTGGAGAGAGATGGAGAGGAGATTGAGGAGAAAGGTAGACTAGGGTTGGGATACTTTCGTAGTAATTTCTTGATTCCCCCTTAATAAAACGTAAGTAAATATTTATAGCGAAAGACTGAAAAAACTTAATAGACGATCCTATTATGACCCAAAGACTACTAACCATATCTAATAAAATCCTACTAATAGCAATAATGGTAATTACGAAAAATCCCAAAAGTGAGGTTTCTATCATAGTATTTTAGCACGCGTTCTACCGCGATAAGAAACTAATAATTTATCTGAAATCAAACAATTTACAAAATTATTTAGATGAGATACCTACATAAATTTAACGTATTTTATTAATCATTACGAATAATATACCGTCATCTGTTTGTTTCAATGATACGTAATAAATAACTATAATATTTAGGTAGTGTTTTATCATTATCGAAGACTTGCATAATAATTTTTTTTTAATTGATACATACAAAAAGATAATATGTTCATATGATTTACGTAGTGTGTTAATCATTAATGAAGACTCATGTAATATATTTGCATACGTAATAGCTATCCGTTTATAAAATTTGTAATTTATGTAAGTGTTATAGAACCTAGTTACAATGTGTGATTTAATAATAATATCAAACTTTAGAAAGTAACCTATGATTCACCTATCATGTCAAAGTTAACTAACCTTACAAAACTTTCTCATAATAAAAATTGATTACAATAATTATTTTAGTTAGGAATGGTGGGATGAATTTCAGTTAATAATTTATTATTTTTCATATTATTTAATAATAAATTGTGAAATTAGAAGATTTTTACTTAATAATTAAATAACAATGTGCTTATGATAAACCGTGAAAATGAAAAAGTTTTAGTTAAATAATAATGGACTTATGATAAAATTGGATTTAGAAGATAAAACTCATTGTGAATAGTACCCGTATGTTTTAGTAATGAACCGTAAAAAATCCTTGTGCTTTTAATTATACTTGTAATGGCCCGCGCTCTGCGAAGAGTACCATATGTTTTAAATCACAGCGTGTTAAGTGTTAACCATCTCTATAATATGCTAGTACCTGAAATCCTTGTAAAGGTTATCATATGGTTCGATGAAACTAAAATAATGAAACAGAATCTGAATCTAATATAACTATACTATCGATTGTTTAATGAAACAACACATGACATGGATCTGAAACAGTGAAGCTAATCTTACAACGGTTATGGACTTCTATGAATATGAAGTTGACATTTTAAAAATTCTAAGTAATTCTAGCACAATCAAATTTTTGGCTTCATAGCAATAGCTTATCCTCGAATATCGATATGGCATCATTGGAGGAGAAAGGAGAACCTCAGTGATTGTGAATGAGAAACAACTAATTTCTAGACTTCCGCATATCTTCAACTTACAGCTGTCATTAATTTGTCGAATTTTGGAACTCAACACAAAATAATGCCTTTTCCAACTGCACTGCAATTAGATTTCCCCTTCAGCTATGTCATAAATTCAACAATTTAACCCACATTACACCATAATGAAAATTGAGAGTAGACCCTTTGTTCTCATAACAATTTAGATGAATCTAATATCCTACAACTGAAAACCTTAATTCTGTCTATGGGTACTTTGTCAACCAGAGCTTTTCTGTCATCGCCCAAAACATCTATCTCTCTGAAGTCTTGTTCAGGCTTATGAGTTTAGGGGCATTTTGTGTCGCCTACCTCCTCGTCCAGCAGTTGTATACTAACCTAGTAGTATGCAGAAAGAGTTGCAGAGTCCTTATCTGGGTGTGTCAGAGAGACCATGTCCATGGCCCCTTTTACCTTCTTCCCTTCTTCTCCTATAATGGATTATCAAATAGAGACACGAACCTAGAACCAATCCAAATGGGGTAACAAAAGAGGTAGGATGGGGAAATGATGTTTACCTCGTCATGCACGGGAAAGTGAGAGGATATCCCCTTCTCTTCCCATGGATTTAAATCTTCATTCACGAAGCTGCGATGACAACGGGTTAATTAGCTGAAGACTCCAGATAGGAATCGAAATGGTCAGGTCCGGGGAGGATATCTCGATAGTTATACCCGACCCGCTGCAAGTCGAGTACTTTAGGTCGGTTAATTTATCACGGGGCGTGAGTCGAGGCAGATCGACCTAATAGGTATGTAATTTTTATGAAAAACATTAGAAATATTCGTTGTTTTCATTAAAAGACCAAGAAAAAAACCATAATATGATAAAAGGTAGTTAAGTGATTGAAGAAATTGAGTTTTTCACTTATTTACAACTTTATTATCGCTAACATATGAGGTAGTAACAGGAAAATAATTAGTAATTTGACTAATATTACATTTAATTTAGTCGTGAATGTGGCGGGTGAGGGTAGGTCGAGTCGATGAGAGGTACACATTCCCGCCCAGCACCAAATCAAGTCAAACAGGTCGGGTAAAACGAGACAGGTCGAAATTGCCATCGCTAACTTCAGTGAAGAGTTGAAGCAGCCTTATTGAAGAAATGAAGAGATGATCCAACCTAAACCTCCCTCGAGAGAGCTCACTAGCTATCTCTGTTTTCTTGTTCTATAATTAATCTCAAAGTACCCTTGCCTGCGAAGATGAAGACTCGTCGGTTTCAGATGGTGCCAGTCGCGGTCAATTGGCAAATCCAAAGCATCCCGAGGATGTTGAGGGACATCAAGACATCTGTGGCGATTTTTTTGAATGATTGAAGAAGATAAATCTTTGAGTACAAATTTCAGCTGCAGAAGGGAGAAGGTTAATTAAGACTACGGTTGAAAGCCGGAACTTGGATAAACGCCAGCCGAGCAACGTAGGTAGATTGGAAAAGCCTTGGGAGAAGGTTCCATGGTACTTATAGGTAGGGCTGGCTATTTGGACCGGGACCGGATGAAAAACCGGAAACCGGACCGTATAACCCGGACCGAGATCGGACCGGGACGGGATAGTAAACAATCCAAGCCAATCTTTGGGCTTAGATTTGAGGTAAAAACCCGGATAAAGACCGGATAAGAGAGCTCAACACCCAAAACTTAAGGGTAATTTGCATAAACGGTCACAAACCTTTGCACTTAGTACAAAACTTAACCAACTCCTCACCCTTTTAGGCCTTAGGCCACTCAAATTCCCACAATCTCAATATAGAATCAAGATCGAATTGGGACCGGACCGGGTCAAGACCGGACCGAATCAAGACCGGACTGTATCCAATCCAATCTTCGGTCCTTATATTTTCAAAAAAACCGGACTGGACCGGATCAATTTGAGCCAATTTAACCGGACCGGACCGTATAGCCACCCCTACTTATAGGCACCTTGTCGTATTCCACCACACGTCTAATGCACCACTTATATGCTCATGGTTAAAAAATGAACGCTTAACTTTATGCTTAGGCACGCTTAGGCGAAAGACAATGACAAAATGCCTTGTCTAGGGGTTTTGCGTCTAGTTAGATACTGGAACACGTCAATGTAGTAAGACAGCATCTAAGTCTTTCCTAAACATAACTACATGGAGCTAGGAAGTTAATATTAAAGGAGGAAATTAACATCAATTACGAAATTAATTTTCTATATTAATATTTTCAATAAATTAAGAACTTTGTTAGGTATTGAGATATTCTTCTATGAATTCGTGAGTTGTTTTATTGTCATTAAGTGTTAAGTATGTTATTAATCATTTTAACTTAAGTAAAAAGGTGTTGTAGATTTTTTTTATAATGATGAAAAAATATATTAAGATAACGAAAAAGAGTTAAACACAGGAAAAAAGCAGCCAAGGCTCAAAAGAATTGAACCATGTTGCAAACAGGAACAAACAATGAATAGCTATTTTTCTTCCAATTTCTAAGCACGCTTACTTTATGCCTAGACGAGCTAGGCCCTAGACAAAGTCTCAACGCCCGCCTTCTTTAACGTTGCTTACGCTAATTATTATCAAATAATAATAATAAAATATTTCTCATTAGGTTTACTTTGCCTTACAACAATTTGTTGATGGATTTGGAATTTCCTTCAACTTGCAAACAGGAGGATATCCTAAGGATGAAGGCAATGAATTTGGATGCTTACCGATTCTCCATCTCCTGGACTAGAGTCTTACCACGTGAGTAATTCTCGCTTCTATTCGTGTTCCATTTTTTTTAAGAGCTATATATAGCTTGGTTGACTTATAGTATGAACGTTAATGTTTAAATCTTGGGACGCAGATGGCAAGATCCAGGACGGAATCAATGATGCAGGAGTCCAGTTTTACCACAAACTACTCGATTTGCTCCGCAAACATGGTACGTAGAATAATTCGAATGTGCCTTAATTAAGTTTGTGGTTAATGAGTCAGACAACTGATGCAATAATTAATGTTTCCTTTTGATTTGTAGGACTGGAGCCTTATGTGACCATATGGCATTGGGACACCCCTCAAGCCCTGGAAGCTGAGTATGGTGGATTCTTAAGCCGAAACATTGTGTAAGTAATTCATACAATAAATGCGCAGAATTGTGTCCAGGAGGTCATAGGTTCGATCTTTAGCTGCTGCCACGTTTACCTTATTCTCTAGGTGGTCATCCTCAGGGTTGTAAGCTCGTATTAAATGCTCAGAATTTGCCGGGCATCTATGAGGGCCAGGGTTTGCCGTCACAAGACGGATTCGTCTCTTATAAATAAAAAAACAAACACAAAATGTATGTTTTTTTGTTCCATATGGATGTTGGATTCCTTTGTTGATCATGTTCGAACTGTGATTATGTAGGAAGGATTTCAAGGATTACTGCAACTTCTTGTTCAGTGAGTATGGCGACAAAGTAAAGAAGTGGATCACTTTGAACGAGCCAATGGTCCATGTTATGCGAGGCTATGATGAAGGGCTGCACGCACCGGGACGCTGTTCCGGATGGGTAAACAATAAGTGTGTAGCCGGAGACTCGGCAACTGAACCTTACATCGTCACCCACAATCTCCTTCTTGCTCATGCCGCTGCTTACCGTTTGTACGAGGAAGAGTACAAGGTCTGTCAAGCTTAGCTAGATTCCGTAGTTGCTTCTTTTTGGAACAAATAAATATTGTATCATCTGAAATGTGGGTTACAACACACATTATTCACGCAGGATGATCAAAAAGGCATGGTCGGGATCACCATAGTCACGTTCTGGTTCCTTCCTTATAACCCTGATGTTAGAGCAGACCGATTTGCTGTCGAGAGATCTCTGGACTTCAACTATGGCTGGTACTTGGATCCTATTCACAATGGTCGCTACCCGAGAAACATGGTGGATCTGGTGGGATCTCGTCTGCCGACCTTCACAAACCAAGAGTCACTCATGCTCAAGAAATCGTACGATTTTATAGGCCTCAACTACTACACCACCTATTATGCCAAGAACAACACCGACTTCGACCCGGCGCAACTTCGATACACTCACGACTCCCGCGCCACTACTACCCGTACGCTTTTCCGAATCGCTTACTGCATCAAAAATATGGACTAGAACTATTGTGTTGTGTTAAAGTAGGTATTCTGAAACATTGATTTTTACTCGTTTCAACAGCTAACAGTAAAGAAGGAGGCCTTATTGGTGAACCGGTACGTACATATATAGAACATGATAAGCTTTGCTTGCATATTATTATTATTATTATTATTATTATTATTATTATTATTATTATTATTATTATTATATAAAAAAACAAGTTGGAACAAAGAAATTGTAGTATATATTTTTTTCATATTTGTTTGGTTTCATTTTGCAGATGGGTTCCAACTGGCAGTATAACTATCCTCAGGGGCTCCGAAATCTTTTGAATTACACCAAGAACATGTATGGAGATCCTGATATTTACATCACTGAGAACGGTAGCCAGCTATTTCTACAGCTCACATAAATGGATTGCAGACTCACTAATTAATTGATTAATTAATTAAGAGATTAGTACAAAATTATTTCAAGATTATTCTCAACTAGTTAATTTTATTTATAACAAAAAAAAAAACAACCGAACAGGAATGGGAACGCAGGAGGACCCTAAACAGACACTTGCAGAGGCCAGAGCCGACACCATGCGGGTCAACTTCTACAGCGCCCACCTCGCGAGCCTTCACCGGGCCATTAATGAGGAGGAGGTGAAGGTGAGAGGGTTCTTCGCCTGGTCGTACGCCGACAACTACGAATGGAGCGATGGGTACTCGGTCCGGTTCGGGCTCAACTACGTCAACTACACGGATCTCTCCAGGCACTCCAAGCACTCTGCTTGCTGGTACTCCCGTTTCTGCTCCCGAGACCAACCCAAGGACGATAACAAAGCTGATCACCGCCAGCTCTTCTGCCGCCGCCGGTCGCAAGGCGCTCCCCAGCGCTGCAGCATACGCTAATTAATCAACTGATGATCGGTGCCCTTCCGCGCGCATGCTAGCTTAAGATCGATGGTACTGTTTAGTATCTGTCTTGACGACAATGGAATAATTGAGTATGATGAATAAGAAGGATCCGACTGTCACTATCCTGAGCATGATTCCAGTGTACGACATGATCAGTGTTGTTGTCCTTTTCATTCCTCTGTGCGTAGCAATAAAACTGTTGTTGTTCAGGGAAAGACGACGGATGATATGTTGTACCGTCTGTGTACTGTTGTTGTTCAATAAACTAGTGTTAGACTCCGTATTTCACCATCTACCATCCTATACACATTGGTAAAAAGATGAAAACAAATAAACCAATTCAACTGTCAATTTAGCTAAAGAGAAAGGAAAACACATAAGCTTTATCGTCGTTAGACACTAATCCACGGAGAGAATCTCACCCTCGGATTTTAGTTCTTATTATTCGAATTCACATCTCCGGTACAGATACAGCGGTTTATATAGGTTTGCTCACACCAAACCCTACAGCTTAACCTATATGAAGATTATTTACATTATGGTCCTCATACATTTAACACCCTCCCTCAAATTGATGTTGGGTTCTTAACATCAATTTGGAAGAAAGATACCAATGTTTGCTCGATTCTACAACCTTGGTCAACACATTTGCTGGCTGCTCGTCAGTGCGCAGGTATCGAAGCTGAACCTACCCTTCAGCTACAAGTTGCCTTATGTAATGGATATGCACCTGTATATGCTTAGTCCGGTCATGCAAAACGGGATTAACCGCAATCTGTATTGCGCTCGTATTATCGCCATTTAGAATCATAGGATTCTTATATAACTCCCAGTTCTTCAAACAGACGATGTAGCCAGATCATTTCTGAACATGCTTCTGACATGGAACGATATTCTGCTTCGGTTGAGGACTTCGACACTTTATTCTGTTTCCTACAACGCCACGATACAAAGGAATTGTCAAATTTTATGCACCATCCCGAGGTAGAACGTCTGGTATCCAAACACCCTGCATAATCGGCATCTGCAAAGGCCTCTATCGTTGATTCGCCTCCTGCTGGATAAAACAAGCCAACATCACTAGTGTGTCTAAGATAGCGAAGTAACCTGTTTACTGCATCCAAGTGAGTCGTCCTTGCAACACCCAAAAACTAGCTGACCATATGTACTACATAGGAGATATCTGGCCGTGTGTGAGTTAGATAGATTAGGCTTCCTACCACACTACGATAGAATGATTGGTCTTCCAGCAAATCTCCTTCATCTTTGCTTAGCTTCAGGTTTTGTTCCATAGGTGTGGAACATGGCCTGCAATCTTCGAACTGTGTTGAAGCAAGTAAATCCGAGATATACTTTCTTTGACACACAAATAATCCCTGCTTCGAACGTCGTACCTCTAGGCCAAGAAAGTATGAGACTTCCCAAGCTTCGTAAGATTAAATTCCTGATTGAGAGTGTTTGTGAGTTCCTGTATCCCATCCTGATCATCACCAGTCACGATCATATCATCGACATATAATAAGAGTGCAACAATCCCAAGAGCAGTCCTGGAAATGAACAGAGAAGGGTCACTGTGACTTTGCTGAAAACCAGCATGTAGTATAGTTCCATGGAATTTTCAAATCAAGCACGTGGAGCTTGTTTCAATCCATAGAGAGATCGAACAAGTTTACACACTGTGTTAGGCCCTGCCTTTTTGTACCCTGGTGGTTCCATATAGAACGTCTCCTTCAAATCACCGTGAAGAAAAGCATTCTTCACATCAAATTGTATTAATGGCCACTCACGCATTGCTGCCAAAGCCAAGAGACTTCGAACAGTGGGCATTTTCGCAACAGGCGCGAATGTCTCGTCATAGTCAATCCCGAACTCCTGTCGAAATCCTTGAGAAACTACACGAGCTTTGAAGTGTTCCAAAGTTCCATCTAGCTTGACCTTGATGTTATACACCCATTTCGAGCCTATTACTGATATTTCAGGTGTTCTTGGAACTATTTCCCAAGTATGATTTTCTTCTAGCGCATCATCTGTTTCCGCATCCATAGCCTTATCCCATTCAGGATGGCCTTTTGCGAACCTATAGTGAGTGGGTATGGGAATTGCTTCAGCCGAGTACCCCACATAGTCCAGCAATCTCACCGGTGGGGCTCCCTTGTTTACCCTGTCTGATCGCCGCGGAAGAGGAGGTGGAGATGGCGGACTCGACAAGTTATCACCCATTTCAACACCTACCTCTTTCGAGTCCCCGCAGCATGGAGTGAGTGTGAGCTAGCTGTGGAACTCGAAAAAGATGGCACAGGGGAGAGGACTGATCACCCACAAACGAGGACGGTTCAGATGACGAGCTGGAGCTCGTGTGAATGGATGGCGTGTGAGGTGGCGAAGTCTCATGAGGACCGCCATCTGCTTCAGGCCCTCCCTGCGGCGTTGCCGCATTATTTCCAGGTGAAGCCGCTGGGAATGAATCAGGGCGAAGGAAATCCAACGAGGGAGGAGGGCTTTCCTTTGTCAAGGAATAGTGCATCACTTGCTCGAGAAAGACAACATGATAAGCAATTCTCATGCGACGTTGTACCAGATCATAGCACAAGTAGCCCTTGTGCTCGTCATCATAGCCCAAGAACAAGCTGGGAACTGTTTTTGGAGCAAGCTTATGTCGATCACGCTTGGGAAGAAGCACGAAACATAGACAGTCGAATACTCGCAGAAATGAGTAATTCGGTGCTTTGTGATATAGTACCTGGTAAGGGGACTGATTACCAATCACAGAGGACACCTTCCAATTGATGAGATACACTACCGTTCGAACCGCTTCAATCCAAAATCCCGTCGGAACACAGGAGTGGAACAAAATGGCTCGTGTGAATTCTAAAACATGCTTGTTCTTCCGTTCAACGAGGCCGGTTTTTTGTGAGACACCTGGACCCGAATGTTGAACTAGAATTCCCTGTGAGGTCTAGAAGTCTGTGAGAGGTTGAGAACTGAATCCACCCCCATGATCGGATCCGATAACCTTCACTGTTCTATGGAACTGAGTCTGCGCCATTTAAACAAAGGCCTGTGCATGAGTAATAATCTCTGATTTCCTTCTTAAGAAGTAGATCCATGTGTACCGTGTGGCGTGGTCTATGAATAACGCAAAATACTTGAAACCCATTCGAGAAGTGACAGGTGATGGCCCCCACAAATCAGTATGAATTAAGTCGAAAGGCTGATCATACTATGTATCGCTAGGCAGAAAAGATGATTGGGACGTTTTAGCCTCAATACAGCTCACACAAGTACTAGGGGCAGCAAAACTGGAACTCAATTTATCTGGTAATAATTGAGTACGAAACATGTTCAATAAACGCTCCGAATGGGGATGACCTAGACGGCGATGCTACAGATCCCATGTATATGAATGAACAGAAAAATCCAACTCTCCAGGCTTAACAGAATACCCTAAAATATTAATATCCTGACCAGACTTATTCAAAGCTGCCGAATGTGCTTTATTACAAAGAAAGGAAGTGTCATTATCAATAGGACCTCCATCCAAGCTTCCATTATTCTCATCCCTTACTGATGCCGCTAGACCATCTCCTCTCCTAGACTTGTTGTACTCATCTAGGATAAACAAGCGACCATTCTTATGGCCTTTCCCGATCACCCTCCCTGTTTTCCGATCCTGTACGACACACCCATTAGAATTAAACACCACATCACAATTTTCTTCGGTCAACTACCCCACAGAGACAAGATTCGGAACAAGATATGGAACATATAGTGTATCCGGGAGCTGAACATTGCCGGATAAAACTCTGCCTGATCCATGCACAGGAACCTTAGTTCCATTTTCAAATTTTAATGTCATAGGAGCTACCTGTTGAACCTGAGAGAAGCATTTGCGTATACCAGACATATGATTGAAAGCTGCGAAATCAAGTAAACAACGAGGAGTTTTACCTGAGGAACCACCTATAGAAAAAACTGCATTCAAAGCCTGTGGAAGAACATCCTGAAGTGCCTACTGTACCAATCGTCGAATAGCCTCCGAAGACAAATTGCCTCCCAGGAGCCGAGGATGAGGTGACCGAGCTCCCTTGTGAGGAGCTTTTCTCGACTACCTCATAACTTGAGCCACTACCCTAGAAACCTGAACATGCATTATTGCCACCATAACCCAGACGTAGTCCCCCCTTTCGAGCCAGCATCTTACACTCCATAATAATATGACCATCTCTCTTACAGTAAATACATATATTACGCTGCTTACAGTGAGGCTGTATGTGCCCAACTTCATGGTAGAAGTGGCAGGTGAGTGTGCTAGTCCCTTGAGCCTGAAATTGAGGTCGATTTCCACCACTCTTCCCTACTGCAAAGGCTGAATCTCCAGGTGCCGAGAGATTGTCGATATGAGCTTGGCTGCGCAGCTTTGTCTCCTCACGTAACAGCTCACCGATAACATCTTCAAACTCAGTCACACCTCGGTGAATAATCGAGGCTCGAACAGACTCTCAAATTCTAGGCACAGTTCTATAATAAACTGCATCAAGCGAGACCGTGTCCGCTCCTTGAGAACCTGCGGAGTACTTGCCTTGGGTGATAAAGACGCCATCAGCAGGTCGTATTCCGTCAAGAGATTGAGGCTCTCCTGATAATAGTCTCGAATATCCTGATCTCCTTGAACCAGCTTGGCAATAGCAAACTCAAGATCAAACTGCCGAGAGGAGTTAGCTTGAGAATAAGTTTTGCAAACATGAGACCACATCTCATGGGCTGTCGAGAACTGATGCAGACCAAGGGCTATAGGGATATCAACTGCTCCTGCCAACCAGCTCACAACCTGGGCATTTGCGGTTGCCCAATCAATGCGATCATTTTGCGGCGCGGAGTCATCAGGCTTCTTGGACGTCCTGTTCAAGATTGGGAGCAGTCCCTTTCCTTCAATAAATTTCCAGAACTGGAACTCCCACAAAGCAAAGTTCTTGCTGTCGAACTTTGGGGTAACA